ACACACACACACACACACACACACACACCACAGAGGCATTCAATCTTCTCCACCAACTTACATAACACGCCACAGGTACTCACCACACACAACTCCTTTTCCCATCTCAAGGTGTGACAACCCAGAACTCAGACAGCTGACGCCCACCTTAAAACTACGAACACCACTTTTACTGGTTGTTCTTGCAAGCAACAACTAACATTTTAAAAAAAGTCGCATCGCTAATCTGGATTCACACTCCACTCGTCCACTTACCGTAGACGGTGAGCAGATAGGCCGATTGACTCTTTGGAATGCTGAAAGAATCTGCCAGATCACAGACGAAGAAGAGAGGCACGTAGACGCCTAGGTTAAAGAAAAGGGGCAAGGGAGAAAGGACAAAGCATGCACCAACATCGCTAGTATATCACCTCCTTCAAAAGGAAACAATAATGAGTCTGTCAACACTACCACCACTACCTCCTCCTCCTCCACCACCACCACCACCACCACTACACTCACCCATCACAGCGATCAGACTGGAGAGACAAAACACCAAGAAACTCTTCGCCTTCAACAGCGACAAATTCATCATCGTCATCAGCACGTCGAACATGGATTTGGGCAAGAACATGCATCTCCTCACGAGCACGAGGCGTGCGTGCCGTGGAAACCTCATGGGCTGGAGGCTACGATCTCCATCCTCCTTCAACGAACGCTTCAACTGCTTCATCCCGTCCTCCTCCTCTGCTGCCAACTCCGCGCTACGCTTCCGTCGTGTCTCCCAACACAGCCACCAGCCACACATCGAATGCGACCGCGGTACTCTGTAAATGCCGTCTGCTGGCGCATCCGCCAGATTCAGTCCCGTCTCTGACCTCAGTCGGTCCCAGAAACTCGCCTCGTCCTCCACAACTCCTCCATCACCTGTGCCCACACCCTTCGCCTCCGACTCGAAGACATCAGGTAGGGGAATCCTCGTCAGCGACATCAAACAGGAGCCTGTCCAATTCGCGTCCAACGGTGCCCCCTCCGCTGGCACTGATACCTCGTTGATGGGGGGCAATGGCACATTGTCGCCGAAGAGTATGTTACTGCCAAACTGCGAGGCGCCCATGGTAGTCTTCCGTCGACGCGGCCCATCCGCCATCTCTACCGACGCCTGGCTGTATCCAATCTGGTCCTCCGATGCCTCCATCATGCTTCCCGCCGCCGCGGCTATCGACGCCGCCGACGCCTCGATTTGCCGCTTCACACTCCCTCTAACAACACATGTAATATGATACACTGCATGAGTCAGCAATACTCCGATCATTCCGATCCAATCTTACCCTCACATAACAATGTGCATTTCAACCACATCACACTCACACATATGTCGCTAATGCACCTCAAAGACGTACGGAAAGAAGATGTCCTTCCTGTAGAGCGGCCGTGCATAATCCTCCACACTGATGCTCTCATGCGGCAATTCAACGATCACAGGCGCAGCGTCCACCAGCTCCTCTGCATCCCCACTCCGACTTCCTATCCCACTACCCATGCCGCCAAATCCATCCGCTGTCGAGGCAAACATCGTGGAACCGATGCTACTCAGGTAACTGCGTGTCAATGCGCCCATCGCCACCGACTCCGATCGACGTCGTGGCACCGATGCATTCGCCAACTGCACCACCGACTGTCGTGGAATTGGCCGCGTGTACGTCCTACTCGGTCGACGCCTCGACACTCTACTCCCACCTCGTACACTGCGTCTCTCGCGCCGCTGCTCTTGCCGCCTCGACAAGGCCCTCTCGCTGGTGGAATCTGCGTATACACACACATGCAAAACACTTTGACAATACTTACCCTCCCCTCCTCCTCCTCCTCCTCTCTTCAATTACACAAACAATGAGTTTAGCCACTCACATCTATTGGGTCGGATAAGATTGGGTGCAGATACTATGCAATCCAAAACAGAAGTCTCTCTTCGCGAATCTGTTCCCTCCTCATCCCCCAAGGCTACCGCTCTGCGCTCACCACGAGTTGGCTGCTTGCACGACGTCTTCCTCAATGGGTGCAGCTGAACACACAAACCAAAGAATGGTCACATCTCTCGGCAACAACCTTCACATTGCAACGTATAAAAACAATTCCTAATCTGGCAATGCGTGCCAATCATGGCGGCTAGCTACCTCGTCATCGCCATTGTTGTCCTTTGCGGCAGTCCCATCGACATCAGAGGTGGAGGCTGAGTCCCAGTGAGAAACCTCCTCCTCGCACGACGACCCACAGGTAGAGACGATCGAGACATCACTCTCACCTCCCACCCTGTCCACACCACCGTCAACGTCAGTGTCCGAACCTGACACCACTGCCTTCGTCTCTGCTACCGCTGCTGCCACCGCCGCCTCCTTATCAGAGTCTACGGCTCGTGAACCTCGCAGCCGACGAATGCCCTCCACCCATTGTGCATACTGCTGCTGCAGCTGCTGACGCAGCGTCCTCCGTGTCCTTTGTCGTCTGTAGTGCCGGTGGTGCTGCGGCTTCGCCTTCCCCTTCATCCTTGCATCCCCCTTCTCCCTCCCTTCCGGCTCTTAGAGCATAGTAACCAAACCACTCTATCAACATACTGACCCACCAAATTCACTATTTTAATCTTACACTCTCCTCCACCCAACCACCCACCCATCCCAGACTGCCACTTAAGCCACTATTTACCCCTCCCATACTTCGCCTTCAACATCCTTTCTCTACACCTCTGCTCCACACATCTCATTTGCATTCAATAGACCACACCACTCCCTACTACTCATCTTGAGACAGCCTCACACCACACCTCCCTACTGCCCTTCATTCCCCTACTTGACTTCACTAGGGTATCACAAGTCCTAATTATATGAGCACACATAACCATCACTTGTCCTCTTACACTTCACCCTATCCCACCTCATCCCACTCAACCCTAACTTCGTCTCCCTCTTCAGTTCTGACATACGTACCAACGCCCCTCAACGCGCATCATCTCCATCCCCCCTCCCGCATCGCAACATTTCCAAAAGTCTGTTCAAGAGCTATCAGCATTCACTGCTACCTCGTTTGATAGGCTAACTTTGAAACAACACGTGAATGACGCCTCACTAGACCCTAACCAAACTGTGCATACTTCTGACTGCCGCCCAATAGCGCCTAGAGATGAAACGCAAACAACCTCACAATTTCACTCATCCTCGGCCGCCCTCATAATGCCTACACACCAATCATAAACTAATATTTGTTTCGTCCATCCTGATAATCTGATCCCACCGGTAATGCAACCATTCACTTCACATTGGCCACACTATCGCCAAACTCCGAAAGGCCTTAAGGCCTAATAATAATCACATAACTCCTCTACGTATTCACTGCACCCTCGTCGATTTGCAAACATAAAATAATTAAGCGAGAAATACAACGCACCCATTTCGCCCTCTGGACCCTCCGCTATTGTCTCCAGTTGCCTGCAAGGAAAAAACAACGCACATGCATTCGCACCTACCACATCAAAGGTTGCACAACGCTTTGTCGGCACTTACGACTGTAGAGGTTTGTCTTTTCCGGCCTCAAGCGTTTCAGGCTGCAGCTGTTCGCTCGTCCGTTTCTGCAAAACCATCTTCCCCTGCAACTTCTCCTCCTCCTCCTCTTCCTCCACTTCTTCCTTCAGCACCGGCGGTACGCGTAAGTCTCGCTGCGAAACAATGGGCGGCGTCGCACCGTCAACACCCATCCTGTCCCCACTTGCTGTCGCCGACACCGCCTCCTCACTCGCAGCCAGCTGCAACAACGACTTGATACCCTCCGCCTCCGACGCCTTCATCGGCGTCAACAGCAGGGCCGGAGTGAGCGGTCTGTACAGCGCCGCCAGCACCATGCAGTTCAACAGCATCCCCGCGAACAATATCAGTGTATTTGACCAGCCGTACCTCTGCTCGTCCAAACCCAAACACAAAATCCATACGCATTAGAACCGCCCTCGCCAACCTCCTCTTCCAACGCCATTCACTCAAACAACTCCTCCAATCAATCCAACACACTCCCACACCTCTCACACCGTAATGCCTTCTCTCCAGCCTACGCTTCACCAAATCTTCTACCCCTTTCTGCACAACAACGCAACATCCCTTGCATCATGTCAACTCATCCTCCATGGCACCGGTTCACTCCAACCTTCCACACCAAATCCAACAGTTCCCATCTTCTTCAGCCTGTCAGTACAGACAGGCTTTGAAAATGGATTACCATGTCGTACCACAAAACTACTGCAATAGTACACGACAAGCAACTACCTTCTGCATACACGTCATTAAACACATCCGATACTGAACTAAAACACATTCACCTCAGAGTGCGTGTGTCCTTGAAACAACACCCCCCCCCTCCCACCTACCACAAACATGAATTATTTCACGCTGCAGAATACCTTCCCATGACGAAAGGCCTCCCACCACTCCTTGCTCGCCTCTGGCCAGCAATTCAATTGCCTACATACATCGCTTCACACTCGTCAACTAATATTGCACACACACACACACACACACACAC